ATCTATCTATCTATCTATCTATCTATCTATCTATCTATCTATCTATCATCTGTCTGTCCATCTGTCCGTCCATCCATCCATCTATTCATCCTCTCTCTTTGTGTGTCTCTGTCTCTTTCCTTCTATCTTTTCTTTTTAATTATTATATCTGGTGTATGTTTTAGATAGTGTTCCCTTTGCAAAACTCACTTAACTTTTATTATCATTTTTAACAAGTTTTTTTTCCAATTTTATGATGATATGACATTCAGAAAAAGTGAAAGTTATAAAATTATAATCTTTGCTTGCCCTGATGTAATCATTTAATCCATGTTGGTTCTCTTCAACTGCTACTACCAATAATAAGTGGCCTTAACGTGGTTATTTATAACTGTGTGACATATTAACCTTCCTATAATAATCAGCTTACATTCATTTCATTGTTTGACTGTTAGGACTGGATGTGGCAATCTCAGTGAGGAATAATTTTTATTCAAATTGCTGAAAAATTGCATCTTCTCAAGCTTCCTACTATAATCAGCTCACTATCTGAGACTGAAAACACATTTTACTCCCTGAAGAAACATGCCATGCTCAGACCTCATATTGTGGATTTATTTCTTCCTCTGCAGGAATAAATTGACCAGAGAAAGAGGCAGACTAGTTATAAAGACAGAAAATTAGTACATTATACTGTGTCTAATCTGTATCTAATGTAATGATCAATGATACATTGAAGTGAAAATTTGGCTGAAATTTGCTCAGTGTGCTGTAATCAACAGCAACTATGATTAATGTCCAAATATTATAAATAACATATCACAGTTATTGGTGTTTTAGTCTTCATTATAATATAGTAATAACTGGTTTGCATGGTTTTGTTTATTTTTTAATCCTCCCTATTCAGAATATTTGTCTTAGAAGATAACAGTCTGAAGATATATAATATTACCAAATCTGATGCAGGTGTATACAGCTGCATAGCGATGAATCAATTTGGAGTTGTGAGAAATTCAGGAAATCTGATTGTGAAAGATACTTTCTTTTCTTTATTGTTATTATATGCATATTGAAATCAACATACATATTTCTGTAAAGCCTTTGATTCAGTGGTACACGACAAAGTACTCCTAAAACTAAAATCTTATGGTATCTCTGGACAACTGCATAACTGGATAGAAGCATTCCTGTCAAACAGACAATGGTCAAAATTGGGAGTGTCCTATCAAATTCTGTACCTGTCAATAGTGGTGTCCCCCAAGGCAGTGTTCTAGGACAAACTCTCTTCATACTCTACATAAATGACCTCTGTGATCATATTAAGAGCAACTGCCTTCTCTTCATTGATGATGTAAAGCTGTTCAATACCACAGACAATACTGCTACCCTTCAAAAATATCTTGACTATGTATCAGAATGGTCAAACAAATGGCAACTTCAAATCTCAACAAATAAATGCTCTGTCTTACATATTGGCAAAAATAATCAGAAAATAAAATACAAGCTGAATAGTCAAGACCTTGTTGATGATCCAAGCTCTGTAAAGGACCTTGGAATACTCATCTCTAATGATCTAAGTACTAGAGCCCACTGTAACTACATAGCCAAAAAGGCATTAAGAGTTGTTAACCTAATCCTACATAGCTTTTTCTCTGGTAATATTACACTACTAACTAGAGCATACAAAACATTTGCTAGACCAATACTCGAGTACAGCTCATCAGTCTGGAACCCACATTATGTATCTGATATTAGCACAGTTGAGAAAGTCCAGAAATATTTTACAAGAAGAGTTTTCCACTCCTCTACTCGTTGTAGAATACCTTATGCCACCAGACTCGAAATTCTAGACCTAGAAAACCTTGAATTACGCCGTCTTCAGTCTGATCTAAGTATGGTATATAAAATCATACATTGCAATGACTTACCTGTCAATGAATACTTCAGCTTCAACCATAACAACACAAAAGCACACAATAGATAGAAACTCAAGGTTAACCGCACCAAACTTGATTGCAGAAAATACAACTTCAGCAACAGAGTGGTCAATGTCTGGAGTACTCTACCTGACTCTGTGGTTTCTTCCCCAAACCCCAAAAACTTTAACCTTAGACTGTCTACTATTGACCTCACCCCTTTCCTAAGAGGTCTGTAGGGGGTGTGCATAAGTGCACCAATGTACCTACCATCCCTGTCCTATTGTTTCTTTTATTTTTCTTATATGTACCCATTTCATGTATTCATAACTATGTATATACTTATACCTATTATCTTGTAAGTGATTGACAAATCAAATCAAATCAAATAAAAATAAATACATATTTGATAAATCATGCTGAGATCTCAGAGACAATATTCTGTGAATGCAGTTTGAAATTTATTTTCTTGGGGGAACAAGATTGCTGAAATGCCTGTGGCAAACCAGAGGGATCCTTGTCAAGATACATGCAATACCTATGGTTCGATACCTTTCTTAGAGGGAAAGACAAAAATCAAGTTCAAACTTAGTATCCAAGCTTCAGACTGAATAATGAAATATTTCAAGGAAATAGCCGTTTTGCAAACTAACTCTACAAGGCAGAAAGATGAGGTACATCTGAACTCTTGTTTAGTCTCAGAAATTAAAGCTGTACAAATGTTTATTTCTGAAGCTCCAGGGTTTTGAGGTACATAAATCATTTTTTACCTGTCGAATATAACCAAGAATCTTTTACCTGATCAAGGTGAAAAAATTAATTTATTTAAAGATAATTTTATTAAAATTATTATTTTAGTGGTCTAGGAAGAAATAAAGAATAATGCATTGTCTTGATAAAAAATAAATAAATCATCTTTTAGGTAAAAGTAAGTGAAGGAACCACTGGCATATTCTATGCAATATGTTGAACCAAATGACCTAAAGTGATCCTTGGGAATCCTTTATTCAGCAGTGTAAGAATCTTGTCAGTCACATAAGACAGTGGTCCCCAAACTTTCCAGCCTGGTAGCCTGGCTGAGGGGGGAAGGGGAACCAGGCCATGTAAGCAGTGCACTGATGCACACACCCAGAGCTCCACTCATGTGAATGGCAGGGCATGCATGCAGTTCTTCTGCAAGTAGAGCTACCACTTGAGCGAATGGAGCTGTGTGTGCACATGCTGCCAATCTGAATAGGCCACAGCCTGGTAATGGCCCATGGGTTGGGGAATCTGGTTTGCAAGACATTGAGTGTTTGATTAGGAGATGCAGAAAGGAACAAATATCCACAGATCCTTCTGTGGTCATGCATTGTCTCTTCCTACCTACCTCCTGCTCCATGACTTTACCAAAACTGCTGGTTTTCTGGAAGCTCTTATTTATACAAAGATCATCCAAACATAGAACCTGCTTACAGTAAAAGTTCATTAGGTCAAAAATCAAGTAAAAGACATGACCATGAAAAGACAGTTACTTGTCAGATCATTTAACTTTTTGTACTGTGATAATTCAATGGTGTCTGAGACTAATAATAGAAATAATACAAATACCACTTAGACTTATATACCACTTCACAGTGCCTTACACCCCTCTCTAAGTAGTTTCCAGAGTCAGCATATTGCCCCCAACAAACTGGGTCCTCATTTTACTGACCTTGGAAGGATGGAAAGCTGAGTCAAACTTGAGTCTGATGAGATTCAAACTACCAAACTGCAGGCAGCCAGCAGGCAGCAGAAGTAGCCTGCAGTACTGCATTCTAACCACTGTACCACCATGGCTCTTAAAAATAATCCTCCCCCTTTCAAAAAAAAAATGTGTATCAGCAGTAATTGCAAAACTACACAGTCTTGGTCTTGTAGAAACCCTTGGAATAGAAACTTCTTGAATGAATAAATGGAGATAGAGCACAAGTCTTTCCTGAATGACAGGGGAGGGAATCTGCAGTCCACTATGAGGTGGAGTATAAATGGAGTAAAACTGAGTGGAGTGGGCTAGATACTAGTCCTGTGGTTAAGATATATATGTTTAAAGTAAACTGAAATGTTTGTACAAAGTTGATTTGCATATGTTTGAGTTCTGATGTGTGTAGTCACAATATTCTGAAAAACCTTTCCCATATATCAAGTTAGATGTGTTTTAGTAACTGATCACCTATCTTTGCAAGTTATCAATGGATATTTTCTTTTTTTTTACGTCCTCCAATGGACAATCCTAAAGGTCATATATAACAGTATACCAGCTCCACAAATAATTTGGCAATGTGTACTGAAACTGATTGAATATGTTATCTTAAGTTGTGCATTTACATAAAAATGGACAAGGTTATTAATCCAATTACCACACAAAAACCTGGCTGCCCAGATGAATATTTTATCTCTTATCTTCTGCCTGGTTAAAAACACAAAGCTGATATATTCACTTGCAAAACTTTATTATCTAGCAACACATGTTTCCAGTAGTACAATATCCTTCAACAATGTCTGTAGAAGATAGAGAAGGCATTGTATGCTGACATTTTATTAATTGTAACATGCTATATTTGATAAGTAATTGTTTTTATTTGCATGAACTCTGGCCTGTGACACTAATAAAGTATGGTGTGTATGTTTTACTAGTTGGTGGACTGGTTTGGACTTATAGATTAGGACAAGGGTGGAAGGTTAGGCTAAGTAATGGTGGAGATATGGATGAAGATCATATTTATTTATTTTATTTTTATTTATTTATTTGATTTGCCAATTGTTTACAAGATAATAAGTATAAGTGTATACATAGTTGTGAATACATGAAATGGGTACATATAAGAAAAATAAAAGAATAAGAGAAACAATAGGATAGGGACGGTAGGCACGATGGTGCGCTTATGCACGCCCCCTACAGACCTCTTAGGAAAGGGGTGAGGTCAATAGTAGACAGTCTAAGGTTAAAGTTTTTGGGGTTTGGGGAAGAGACTACAGAGTCGGGTAGAGTATTCCAGACATTGACCACTCTATTGCTGAAGTATATATATATCCATATATGAAATATATCCATATTGACAGGCAAGAAGAGCACAGCAGTGATAATTCCATCAGTAGTCTGGCAAGAAGCAATTAAAGAATGACAAATACCTCTTTCCTTTTTGATGCACGGTCCATAGAATTTTATATTTTATTTGTTGTTTGTCATATTTAAGAACCACCCATCTCCTTCACATTGCAAAAACCAATCCCAACCACAAAAAAACTTCGCTCAAGACCAGACTTATCCATACTGCAAAGAATCCACTCCCATGAACTCCGCAATGAGCTCAGACAATGGAGAGAAGGATTTCTACATTGACTACCATGCAGATTGTATCAAAAGTAAGTCACACAACCCACAACTCCACATCCAACCCTACCTCATCCAACCCATCATCACTCAAAACTAGGCACACACGGACCTAACTACCTCAATTCCAACTACAACTGGCCTGAAATGCAATCTATTCAATGCAAGAAGCCTTGTGAATAAAATACCTGAATTTCTCCTCTTACTAAATATGGCTAAATTCGACATCATATTTGTCTGTGAAACATGGCTCAAGGCATCTCTCCCTGACTCCATTACCACAGTCATGTTTACCGGTCAGATCGTGAAATCCGTAGAGGAGGTGGTGTTGCTATCTTCTATAAAAAGTCTTTACATCTAAAAAACATCCAAGTTACCCAAGAGCTTGCTCTTCCTGAGACCATCGTCTGTGAACTGTCCTTAAATATCACATTTCGATTTTTGCTATGTTACAGAGTCCCTGATTATGACATCGAACATGTAAACAAGCTAAATTCATTACTAACATGGGCAACATCCTGCAAACAAACTTTTATTTTTCTTGGTGACTTCAATCTACCTCACATTAACTGGACCCTAAACAAATGTAAAACTGAACCCATACATGTAACCTTCCACAATGCTGTAACAAACCTGAAACTGGAACAAATAGTAGCCAACAATACTAGACTTAACAACTGCCTTGATCTCATCTTCTGCAATAGTTTGAATTCAATTTATGGAATACAGATTAAAGAACCCTTTTCCAACAGTGACCACAGCATG